AGTGAGGGAGAGTGCCGAGGGTCACGGAAATGTGGAGTGAGTTTACATAGACTTATTTTCAAGCCTTGCTTAGCTGCAATGAAGAACCATAAGCATTTCACACCTTAAGGACAAACATCTTGATGTGTTTGATCTTGCATGTGGCTTTGTATGCAATACAATTGTGATGGAACTTTTACATCATAATTTTTTTGCACCAGAGATTATGTAATCCTAATTTAGATGCTTATTATTTTGCTTTTTGTGTGCTATAGGACAGAGAAGATTGACAAGGTAATCAGGCAATGGGAAGGGTCATTCTTTAAAGGAAATCCCAAGCTGAGGAAGAAATCTGTGTCTCTGCGTTTCGACCTTCATATGGCTGTAGCGGATGAGGGTTGCAGCCAAACAAAACAGGATAGTCTCCCAAACGTGGAGGTCCGTCTGGTCATGAGACGGTCGCGCAGCATACCCACTTTTGCCCAGTGATGTCATAATGCTACTACACCACAATTGTGACATCACCATGCTACCACATCACAACTGTGACCTCACAATGCTACTGCATTACAATGAAGTAGTGGTGACCATGTCTCAATGTCTCGCCGACTAATAAAAGCGAATCACTTTAGTAACGTCATAAAACTCTTGCCATTTGAAAGAAAAAGCGTCATATCATCAGCAAAGCATTCGAAAACAAAAACTCAAATTGCTTTTATGATTGTAATGAACTCATGCAGATAAAGCTACTTAAAGAAATTTCAAGGCAAATTAATTTGTAGTTGATTTATTTTACTTCAAACTTAGATGTTTGAAGATGAATGGGAAGTACAAACGTCTTGCAGTGTTTCAGATACATTGTGACTTTAGAGTGTGACTCTCTCTGTGGACGCTCTACTGCCACATTATTGATTATTAGCACATATTACGTTACTGAAAACCTATAAAACTACTGGTTTGTGAAAATGTGTATAGTTTATACATCTATAAAGCTGAATCTTAAGTCTCGGTGAGAAATGGTCAATGTGGATACGGAGATTTCACATTCAGTGCAGCGTAACAAAAGATGCCTTATTGTGTTTGACAAATGTTACTGGAACTAATTTTACACTCCGGTGAACGCTAAGGGGGTATCAAGTTCTGGTTCTGCAGGAGGCTGTAGTGTGAACCAAAACAAAATATTGCGAAATTTGCAAGTGTAGCAAAAATCAGCAGCCAAAATTAAAAATTATGGTGAAACCGATGTACTGTCCTCACGATATTGCCTGCATGGACGTGTACAGAATGACTAGCAGTCTATCACTGCGGAGAGAATGAAATGCTAAAAGTAAAATGTTGACTATGAACTTCTCTACTAATTACTTTCTCCTATAAAAGTTACATTGCTTTGTATTAAGGATGCATATAGTTTACGCTTCATTTAAAGTGCAAATACTGTCTTCCAATCAAAAAATTATGCAGGATTGTTCAGAAAACTTGAAATGATCATACTTCAACAACCAAAAAAAAAAAAAAAAAATTTTTCCATTTTTTATCTGTATTCTCATCTACACGTTAATCATTTAAACTGATTTATTTACATACCCATTATGTTCTACCTCTGGTGGTTGTTGTACTGTAAATACATGGGGTTTTTCCTGATGCAACAAAGAAATGGATATATATGCATATATTTAATTTGAAGTTATATTAAATCTAATTAAATCTATATCCCTGAAATATGATGATATCACCTCATAGGTTTAGTTACTGCTTTCATTCATGTAATGCACAATCTAGTATCATACAGGATTAACCTTTCACGTTTCATTATCTTTCAAAGGGATTGTGACTTACTCTAAGAAATGTGAAGACAAATTACACCATATGCATTGGTAAAAATGTCAATTTCATATGCACTTTAATGGATTAAAATCAAAACATTGCTAACTTTCTGATTTTTCTCTGTACTCAACATTTTTTCAGAGATGACTTTTGCTTTTTTTGAAACATAACTTTTTTTTTGTATAAAATCCATAGCTCTGCCCTGCTGAGTGATTTGGCTTATGCACTGTATGACAGGTGCTAATAAAGCTATTATTATTTCCAGATGAGCTATTTATGTTATGAGCAAAGCTGTCCAAAGACATTTCGTTATATAGACCACAGTGCCTGGAAACCTAGCACACAACACAGACGTCCCAGTTAAGCCTGGAATAGATTTGTAACAGAACTAAAACGACATGAAAATGATTTTACTCAGATAATGGTGTACAAAACAAATTATGTTGCACAATCATTAAACTAAGCAGGCTAGCATTGGTTTTTTTTATGTTTAATAATGCCCACAACCCGTTCTGTGATGTTCTCTCAAGCAATTATTAAACGTGCAAACCTTAATACCTTAAGTTTAGCTAGATGCTAATGCAAACAGTATGTGACAAACTCTGGTAGCAAGATACCCTCTCACTATACTTTTGACTAAATACTTTTACCAGCAAATTAGTGAGTAGCAGTAATTGGTGTCTATTGCCTATATTTTAATGCTGTATCCTAATGGTTAACATTAGGCTGTGGAGCTCATATGTGGGTGATTAATGTTACAGGAAGACCGTTATTAAAATTATAAGTTAATATAAATCGCAAGCTCTGAACCACTTACTTGAGAAACAGCTGTAGAAAGCAGACCCAGATATCCTAACATTTTCTCCTTAACTTAAAGACATTCTTACCACACCTGGAAAATGGATCTCCATATTATTGTATACAAATAATGTTTCAAATATTATATACAGCATTTTGCATTTTCTGAGGAAAATATGAGTGATGCTACCGCTAAAGTGAAGTGACATGTGGCCAAGTATGGTGACCCATACTCAGAATTAGTGCTCTTCATTTATCCCATCCAAAGTGCACACACACAGCAGTGAACACACACACAGCAGTGAACACACACACACCGTGAACACACACCTGGAGCAGTGGGCAGCCATTTTTTTGCTGCGGCGCCCGGGGAGCAGTTGGGGGTTCGGTGCCTTGCTCAAGGGCACCTCAGTCGTGGTATTGAAGGTGGAAGAGAGCGCTGTACATTCACTCCCACCACCTACAATCCCTGCCGGAAAAGATTAACGCTGCTCCCTAGTGGTCATTTATGAACTTGCCACACAAAACAAGTTTCCTTCCTTTTTGTGAAGTATTGCATACTTCGAGTATGTACAAAATTTGATGAAGAAATTAAGTATGTAGTAGGTACTATTAGCATCCATCATGTTGCCATTGTTGACTTATAATGTACTAGCAACAACTGCAAAAACTGTAAAACTGTATAATTTTACCACAAAGAATGTTATTTTGTATTGCCTATATAGTACTTACATTTGAAAAGAGATGCCATTAGCTCTCCGCTATTATTTATTTTTCCTTAGCTCCTGTGGCATTATGGGACAGCAAAGTGTTGTAATCTTAGAATCTCAACAGATGCAGATTTTTTTTTCATGAATGTTAATTCATGGGTAATAAATCCTGAATCCTAATTACTTTCCTCTCACTAGCTATAGCCTTTTTAGCTCAAAATAACTTGTTTTTCTGTTTTAAGCCTCTTACCAGTTTTCTTGTTAATGCGAGTGCTGTTTTTGTTTTCTGTGGACACTTTTAGCTATCTGGGTTTATGCTCAAAATTTATATTTATAGTTAACTACACAATGTGTATTTCTATACATGAGTATATTAAAGGGATAGTTCACCCAAAAATGAAAATTCCTTCATTAATTACTCACCCTCATGTCGTTCCAAACCTGTAAGACCGTATCTTCGGAACACAAATTAAGATATTTTTGATGAAATCCAAGAGCTCTCAGACCCTG